TTATCTTAAAACTCAAGTTTCTTGGTTCTTTGCTCTTGGTATAAATCGAATACATTTGTGGAGTCGTTTAAATATGTTGGATTTTAAATATATTGGATTTTGAACTGTCATACAATTTTTTCATCAATAGTCTGTAATTGAAACCATAACTCTTATTTATTCAAATTGTATTAATATGTAAAGACCAAGTGTAACCTATATCATCGTTAAATCTTATCTTATAAAACTAGTGGAACTTCAAATGCGTTAAAATTCATGGCTCCCACCGCATTGTGCGGGTACACAACTAGTACATTATATATACATATATACATATATACATATATGTATATCTATATATAATATTTGCATCCATTATCTAGTAGTCCATCAATATGCCTCAATTCCATTTTATCCCCTTATTCCCTTAGTAGATTGAAACAACTAGATCGAGCATTGTTGGACGTTACTACTGCTGGACACCTTTGAAAAAACCTTCGATAGTATGGACCATGTCTTGTTATTGATTAAATTCTTTTTTAGCTATATGGGATGATTGGCCAACAATTTTGAGGAGCTTGTAGGAGTTGCGATATTTACTTTATTTTTTTTGGAAAAAGATAAATAGAGTGATCATACATGCAATTGTATTATGTCAATGATTGATATGTACTTTAGTGTATAATTCTCTCTTGCATAGATGCTCTTAGAAGTTGGAACCACAAATGTTTAAATATTGCTTTCTTTCTTCATATAAATCTACATTTCCATTGAACAGATGAACATATGAAGTATGTGTGTTACTAACCCGCGAACCCAACTCAGCCCGTCCTAACCCTCAAGTGTTGGGTTGGTTTGAATGGTTTAAGTTAGATTGAGATTTTTCAAACCGCCATAATTAAGTTGAAGTTGAGTTTTAAAAATGTCAAAAAAATATTCAAACCCAACCCAATTACACCCTTACCAAGTAATTACTATACAAACCCCAAATCCCATATAACCATATTATTATTGTTATTATGTTGTATTTATGATATATTAAGTGGCCACGTAGACTAGCACTTTCTATCTACTTTTGGTTCCTTCTAAGATGGATAGAGTAAATCAGATAGCGTCCCTGTTGCTGAGAATAACTTACAAAATCATTATGGATGATCTTGTTATATAAAAAAGGAGCGATTAAATGTAAACCATCTAATTTGTATAAACTATGCAAACCATCATCATCCGTCGATTTCATTGTTTAATCTTATGAAAAAATTTCATGAAATTGTTTAATCTTGTGAAATTGTTTCATATAAGACTTTTTTTGATGAAGTTGTTTCATATATTGTTATGAAATTGTTTCATATAATACTTAATAAAACTGTTTCATGTATTTCTCTAAAATTAAAATAATGAAGATGATAATATTCATTATTAACACCCTCCACAATAAAAATGATTAATCAAACTCTCATAATTACATAAAAAAAATGAACAAAATTAAAAATTATGATTGATTGAATGAGTTTTGTACGGTTTGTACAAATAACGTGGTTTACAAAATAAACCTCATATATATATATATATATATATATATATATATATATGAAAATAGATTATAAAAATTTGAGTTTCATGATGGGTTATTTATTTTGATTTTGAATTTGGTGATAAAGGTTAGGATTGGGGTTGTAGGTGTGTTATGTTCCCTGTGTGTATGTTTTGTGTGTGGTGGTAAGAGACGGGTTAATGGTGGGAGAAGGTGATCGGAGACGGGATACCAGTCGTAGAAGATGACCGGAGAGGAGTGTTCGGAGTTGGGTACCGATGGGCATTGGTGTGGACGTTTTTTTTTTCAATTATTACATTTTTTATACTCTTATACATAGCCATCGAAAGCGTCCATTAAAACAAATATGAAATAAATAAAGAAAACGACCAAAGTATCCTTGATTTGTAGAACTAAAGCTAACAAAGTTAGGGCAAGGGATCCAATTTATAGCAAAAATATAACCATAATGATTGTACAATTTAGAGTTGTTCGTGGGCGAGACGACCCATTAGACCCGGCCCATCCGGCCCTCTAGAAATACGGACTTTGACAACCATTATCGAGAAAATGGGTGGGCCCGGATTTGGTCGTTAAAATTAATTGGCGAACATGGACAATGTAAAAATAAATATGGACAGGCTCGCCGGCTCGTTTATATTTTATAATTAATATTTTTTTACCATTAACTAAAATTATACTAGTATATTTTAAAATTAAATTATTGAAGTTATAGGATGGGAGTTGAGACTCTTTGGTTATTCTTGAGAAACCCAAAAGGCTAAGTGGTTGTTTGTTTACCTCTGATTGCCCTATGATTCATTCATTTCATTGTTGCTCCTCACTCATTCCAAAATCCAAACTCACATGTTCATCTCGTCACGGCGTCGATTGCCCTATGATAGTAAGATTGATGATTCATTGTTACTCCTCGCTCATTCCAAACTTTTGATTACAAGTTGGACATTTCAAACTCTCTGATTTTCCCGTCGCTACTTATCGCTGGTATCTTATATTCTCATCGATTTCTTTATTGTTTTTGGCAAAAACTCCTTATTTGTTTTGATATATAGTTACACTATCGATGGTCACTTTTTGATTAAAATTTTAATTGCATCGGTGTTTTTTCTTTACATTTTGGTTTCACATTTGTTAATTAATTGTTAGTGATCAAGTTTATAGATTTATAAGAGCTACACTTTTTAAGCTCGTTAACCCGTGGGCAAGCCCGACCCATTTATAGGGCGGACAATGGTAAGTTGCCAAGCCCGAAAAAAGGGTTTGGTTTTACAATATTAGGCCCGTTGAACAAAAAAAACAAATTAGGCCCGACCGGGGCTCAACTCAGGCCCGTAAATGATCACCTACTGTACATGTAATTATTTTGTTTAGCAGACCCAATCCAAAATTTTGATATAATCACATGTACGAAATCTGTAATCTTTATATCTTCTTTATATAAAGAGAAAAGTCTAAAAAAAAATCAACAAACTTTCTTATTTTGAATGGTTTAGTTCCTAAACTATTTTTTTGAATGAAAAAATAATTAAACTTTCTCATTTTGAATGATTAAGTCTTTTAAACTATTTTTTTTGATGGAAAAAATCATTAAACTTTCATATTTTGAATGATTAAGACCCTGAATTTAAAAAAAAAATAGGAACAGTTTAAAAAAACCCAACAAACATTCTATTTTGAATAGTTAGTCCCTAAACTATTTTTTTTTAATAAAGAAACTGTTAAACTTTCTCATTTTGAGTGATTAAGTTCTTAAACTATTTTTTGAATGAAAAAATCATTAAACTTTTTATTTTTGTTCATTTTAGATAAAGTTTTGAAGAACTTGTTGAAACAAAAGATTTGCCTATAATTTTTATTTTATTTGTTGGATAATCTCTAAAGTTGCGTTTGGTATACTGAACATGACAGAATATAACATAATACATAGTATTGTTCCACGTTTGGTAGGATTTTTATGTGAAATATACAGAAATAAAGTGGAACAGACATGTTCCACCCCTACCCCATGAAACAAGCTGAAACAAGGTAAAAGATAGACCAAACTTATATTTTACCTATATAACCTCAAAATAAAATTTATTTTCTTCTAAAACATCATATACGTCTTCCTCTTTACATTTTATTCATTTTTTTAAACTTTATTTATTGTTCTTTGAACTTTAACTCTACTGTTACGGTTTTTATGTTTTGATTAATTTATTAAATATTAATATAAAAAATGATATTAGGAAGGTTCAAAATTTTAATGTAAACTACGTAAACCTTTTATTTTGGTGTTATTTAAATTGTATTTGACGAAAACTTTCTAATAATATATTTTGTTATATAAAATATATATTTTATTATAATTTAATAAATTACATAATTAATCAAAATATATAAATAGTTCATTAGAGGTAAATTGATCATTTTATCTGTTTTTATTCTACTAAGTTTTGTCTTGTCAAACATTAAACGTTTGATAAACGACCCGTTAACGAAGTTTGTTGTGATACCTTATTAAGATCGAAATTTTCATAAAAAAATATGAAACCATTTTCACTTTATACAAATATCTGATTATGATTGATAAAGTTACAATAATTACTAGATAGATTAGGTCTACTGGGTTCTTTAAAACAGAAATGTCAATCCTCCCACCAATAATATCATGACACGTGGTTAAATAAATTTCAAAATACATTTCCCTCTTCTAACTCTGTTTCTGCCTCTTTGTATCATGATCCTCTTCCTCCATGGCCTTCAATTTGTTCTTTATTGCAGCTATTTTCGCACTTCGGCTCATCTGTGCGGTCCCATTACCCGACTTACTCGACTCGATGCCGCTCGATTTGTTGGCCATTTCCATCAAGTACTTCTCTCTAGCAAGCCTCACGACCAAAGGGCGTCCACATGCCAACTTCCCGTGCATCTTCTCCTTGGCCCGTTTAGCTTCCTGCATACTCACTTTAAATCAAAAGAATTAGAAATTTGCCAAAGCAAAAATATGAGATTACACCGTGACGTGAACCTTACCTCCTTGGTGCTGAACTGTACGAACGCATAGCCACGTGGCGATCCACGTTTTGGGCCACGAGTATGCCAAAGGAAGTCCTCAAACACGATCTTTCCGAATGGAGAAAACATCTTTATCAGAGCAGCTCTGTGAAAGTATGACCGAATACTTGTAAAGCAACGACAATGGGTTATGCGGTAACAAAGTTGCTACAAAACCCTAACACCTGTGTTCCTCGACGTTTTTTATGAAGAAGGAAATGAGGGGAAAACGTAAAAAGCACGTTCCTCGAAACTTTTTAGGAGGAAAGGAATACGAGGGAAAATACAATTTTCCTCCCAAAGGTAGAAAGAAAGGGAAGGAAGAAAATGACAACCCTCAGATCATTTAGTGAAATTACAAACTACCCATCAATTTAACCATCACCAAAACAGATATAAAAGGTATATTTGTAAAAATACATCTTTCATTTCTTTTTTCTCTGGTTCAAAAACATGAAAACTTGTTTCCTTGCAGAAGGGTATATAGATTTGCTTACTCTGTTATTTTCAGATCAAGATTGCCAACATAAAGCCTGCTTTCACTTTTCTCATCAAAAACGATGTTGTTATCTTTGTCCTGCATTAGGTAAGAACATGGCCCTGTTAAGAGAGATCCCAAATGCCACAATCTAAATGAGCAAAAGAATAGCATTTCTTAACGGACTTCGTATTTTTTATTAGATGAGGGCAATGAGAGCACGAATATGACACAAATTGCAAGATAGTGGAGCTCAGGATACAAAAGTTACCATCTGCAGGAACTGGTATTGATGACAATCCTGCCAACTAAAAACAACCAAAGTGTGCGCTGCGTGTCACGGCACCTCCAGTTGAGAGATTTCTGAAAGCCTGCCAAATGCGAATAAGTTCACCCATTAAGATTGCATGAGTTAGAGTCCATATGGCACACCAATAAGATAACGACACATGGCTAAAAAATTCAAAAGATGAACAATGCACTGAACATGTACAGATTTAGAGTATATCTCCATTCACTCTAGATTATGGTTTCCTTCTTATCTATAGCAAAATCCTGTTCCAGTTTCTCTTTTATATTTCCAACCTTCACCTTTTGACTTGCATTAGGATATTGTTGCATCTTATTGACCATTGTTCCTCTTTTAGGATCATGACCACAGCAAAAGCTATGGATTTATATCTTGCAAGATTTCGAGTCTGTTCTGCTTTAATTAGAAGCATAGGTTCAGTCTGCACTGATACGCAATGGATGGAGAGTTATAGCTTTTACAAAAAAGAATGATGGATTTACTTAACAAGTGCGCTTGTTATAACATTGAGGGTCATCTCAACTGGCAAATAGGCCTTGGAGCTCCTCCGTCCTTCCCATAGGTGCCAGTTTGAGCCTCTGGACCACTCAAAATTTTCTCAATTGTTATCTTCAGGGCCTCATGGGATTAATCGAGGTGCGCATAAACCGTCCTGGACACCCACAGTTTCCAAAAAAAAGGAGCTGCCTCCACTAGGCTATCATGTTGGTCTAACTTATGAAACTTATACAATTAAGCATGCAGCTTTGTTGCAAGTCTTAGAATCACCAGATAAGTTTGTGCCAACACTACAATGTAAAATCTCAAATTCAGCCTACAGAAACAAAGAAGACAATGTGACAAAAGCAACACAATGCAACTAGACTTTCTAAATGATTCTTCACCAAATAATATATAAAGAAACCTCATGACTTTTAGGTGTCTTTTCAGAACACTTGTCACGAAAACAGCTTCTCTACTCCTAAGGATTGGAAGGTATGCATACATCATACCATCCCCAAACCCTACTTCCGGGTGGGATATACTGGATACATCTGGGTTGGTTTTTGGTAACACTTTCATTTAATAGCTTTTGGTTCACATTCTTATGTAATGCAAACAGAGATATGATTTGTGTTTACTATGTTTAATGGCTTAGCTTCATCAAAATTAAAAGTCAATGCGTTTTTGTACCAAAAACAATTTTACAATTTATATGTACCGATTATAAATTGTTATAAACTGATTTTGATTTTCTAAAAATGTGAAAGTTTGTCAAGTACCATTCTTTAACTAGTTTTCACTTTTTTAGTAAATGATAATCGCACAAACAAAAAAAAAAGACATTTATAAAGTGCAACCCACATATTCCAAAAAAAAGGCTGCAATTCTCCTTCTCAGCCTATATTAAAAGCCTAACTGAAGAGTATTCAGTCCTTGTGGTTTAATAACCCTTAGGTCCTGTTTGATTGGTTTTCCATGAAATCCTGTTCCTATTTATTTTTGTTTCTAATTCCATTTTTGGGATTTTTTTAGAAATTGGATGCAGTTACTAATTCATGATCTGGCATGTACAGAATGAAAACTTCATTCTCGATTCTACGAGAATTTTTATGAAAGCCTTTCATTTGCTTCTCTTCGATGGAAGTTTGATTTTCCCGGAATGTATCCTAATTTTTGGCCTAATTCTTCTTCTGATGATCGATTCAACCTCTGATCAAAAAGATATACCTTGGTTATATTTCATCTCTTCTCCTGTATGGATAAAGTTGTTTGTGCAGATTAATCTGTCTGTATAGATTGGGATGGTTTATGTTTGAGAGAGCTTTTTCATAGATAGAAGAAGTGTGTGGGAGGGGCAGGTCTGGAAAAAACTTGGCTTTCTGCATAAAGCTCTCCCCTAAAAGCTTAGTGAATAAGGCAATACCAACAGTCATGTATAGCTGACCAAATAAGTTGAGAGTCCCATTAAGCTGCTAACAAACAGGCCCTTGGTTCAAGTTCAAGGTCACAGCTTATACTGAAAATGACATGGAAACCAAACACTATCTATGGGCATCCCCACCAAATAACAAACTCCTATGCTAACAGACATTTAAATGAGTGAGAAACTTCCCAAAATAAATAGCACATAAAAGAATCACATAGAAGGATATAACTTCCTAAGCACAAGAAACCCGGCAAACTATTCACATGTTGGCTATCATTAGGATTTGTGTATTTTTGGTTGTTCTTACTTGGTAAATGAATCCTTTTGGTTGTATTAAGCACTATTCTAATTGTTCAGATGTGAAAATGGTAATACGTCGAATCTGCTCTCTAACATTGTTTAGGTAATATTCATGATTGTGTCACTAAAAAGATCTATCCAAGTAATTTTCAGATTAAAAAAAATATTAATATAGATTTTGTTGGAATTGGCCACACATATTGTTCTCTTAATAGAATTTGCAATAAGAATAATGTTTTGTGCAATAATTCTAGAAAAAAGGTATCAAATCCAAATCAATCTCTTGGTTAGAGAAAGTAGATGTCAAAGTTCAGCCCCCTTTCCTTTTGAATCAATAGATTACTATTTCAACCAAAAGGATTTCTTTACTAAGTAAGAACAACCAAAAAGTACACGAAACCCTAGTATTTGTTAATAGAAGATCAGCTCCAAAAATCCAAACAATAATCTAATCACACAGATACATGCGCATGTGTAACGAATAATTGATCTTAAACAAGATTACCTCACTCTTGAACCATTCAAAGACGACTCGGGAGCTCGATTGCATCAGCTAGGGTTCCAAATCCCTTCGAGCAGACGAAGACGAAATGGGGATACACAGCTTTATTCGCTGTATCTGGTTAATGAAGCCGTGTTGATCTTTGAACAATTAACATTTACAATTATTGGGCTGGGCTGGGCTGGGCTGGGCTGGGTTCCAACTTCAAAGTTGGACTTCAAATTGGTTTGTGGAGCAATGTTATAACAAAAACTATGGTATTCGGTCAGTTTTTACCTTAGGGCAAAATACATAAAATAACAATTTATTTTCATAAATTTCTTTATTATAGCATTATAATTTTAGTTTTTCTTATTACATCAATGTATTTTCAAATTATTTTTTATTATGATATTGTACTTTGAAAAATTTATTTAAATTCACCCATTATATCATATTTCTATATCATCTCATTGTCCACATAGGTTGTCCACATAGGTTATCCACATGTATTATAGTGATGTGACTTTCTTATTACAACATTATACTTTCAAAATTATTTTATTATAGCATCTATAGTTCTTATTAAACATTATACTTTTAATTTTAATATTTAGATATTTTACATGTTATTTAATAAATATATAAAATGAATTAAAAAAATCTAAATTATTCATTAATATACCAATATTAATAAAACTAGTAGAACACAACTTATCTCGTTAATATTTTTTTTAAATATGTGTTTTTTTAAAGAAAATAAGAATTGTTCCTATTTTATCAAAAAATATTATCTTTTAAAAAATATATTATATTTGTTCAACAATTTTTAATTGACGTAAAAATATATTAAATAAATTAGATTTTTTTTGAATTATTTATTAATATAAAAATATTTAAAAATTGTAAATCACAATTTATTTCTTTAACATTTTAAAGAGAACTTTAAAATATATGTATTTTTTTGAACAATATAAAATAAGAAATGTTACTTTTTACAAACAAAATATATCTCGAAAATAATGTATCATATTTATTTAAGAAATATTTTACTCTAAAATATTTAATTTGCATGTAACTTAATAAGAAAAAAGTCAAAAAAATAAATGTTTTTTTAAATCATAGCGATTAAAAATGAAAATCACTAATAATAATTTGAAATTGGTTTTTATTTTTATTTTATTAAGTAATTAAAATGATGTATCATCCACATCATCTCATTAAAGCCACACAAACAAAAAAAAGTCAAGGGGTTAACCAGTTTAAAAGGTAACAGTTTACTCATTGTTATAATGGGTAAAAAAATTAAAGTATAATGCATTAATAAAAAATAATTTGAAGGTACATTGTTGTAATATAGAAAACAAAAGTAAAATACTATAATAAGAAAATTTATGAAAGTAGATTGTTATTTCATACATTTAACCTTTTACCTTATATATACACGAATAACATTAATGGGTCTTTTATCTTCATTATGTTATGTATAGATTAAGTTGTCAGTATTATTTAAAATAATAGTTAATTTGGTATGCAAAAATACACACTATGAGTCTACACTTAAATATGGGAGTGTTTTTGTACTTTTATCCTTCTTTTTCTTTTTTTAATATATATATATATATAGGGTTTAGGGATGGTGATTTGCTCCGACCCGGTGGGAAACCCGGTTCACCCGACCCGAAGGGGGACGGGGATTCCCCACTAAAACGGATCTCGAGGCCGGGGATCCCCAGTAGACTCAAACCGGGGACGGGGCCGGGGCCGGGGCCGGGGTTGGGCCCGGGATCCCTGGTAAAATCAAACTAAATGATACCATTTATGAGGTTTGACCGGGGTTTTATCAGGGATTGCTAGAAATTTGACCGCGGACGGGATGATAATCCACGTACCCACCGGGGGACGTTATTACAAACCGGGGTCGGGGCCGGGATTACAAAACCCGCCCCATCCCCGCCCCGTTGCCATGCCTAATAGGGTTGGCTTCATGTGAGACTAGACTCTTTTCGTGAGAGCACAAATTAACACTATATTTTTCATAGGATAACATTGTGAAGGTACGAAAAATATCGAACCTTCACAACAAAGCACTGTGAAAGCTTACTTTCACGAAATTTTGCTGTAAAGATTCAGTGTTATTTGTGTGGTATCATGAAAACAGTATGGTCTCATAGGATTCCAAGTGTGTGTGTATGAAACAAAAAATATATGAAATGTGTTCATCATTAAATGAATTAGAAACAATTTTATCATATTAAACAATTTGATGAAAATTTTCACTAGAATAAACAATGAAATCGATTGTTTTAACGTTTTGTTTTAGTTTGTATTTTATCCCTCCACTATATATATATATATATATATATATATGTGTGTGTGTGTGTGTGTGTGTGTGTGTGTGTGTGTGTGTGTCTTATGTGTATGTGTGTAGAGGTTCAAAAAAGAATACCTTCATTTTAAAAAAACTTAAGAACACCCTTATCACATGTGATAATACACATAAGGGACATGGTTATATTGGACGACTTGGCCCGTGATCAAGGTCAGTCTTATGGTTTGGATGCCATGGGCGCAAGGACGATCCAATGGTTTTGGATGCCTTGGGCAGAGAACCAAAAGAATGCCTCTAATCCAATGAACTAATAACACACAAGTTTTTAAGGGGTTTGGAACCTAGTCAAGCTAGGCGGCTCATCCCTATGCTGATTACTATTGGGCAAAAAAAAAAGTTACAATGGGGGGACATAACCAAAACTTGGAACAATAAAACAATGATAAGATCATCTAAAACGGTGTCTTCATGCATTACGTAAAGAAAAATCTTCAATTAATCTATCATAATCAACATTTACTAAAAATTACTTTCAGTGCTCAAAATTGACAAGTTAAACATCTCTTGACTTATGGTAGTCCGCAAATATGACTTCAATAACTTCAATTTTGAAAAAACTTCGACAGATGCTACCGTGACTGGTATGGTTAAAAAAATCTTGTAGGCAAGCAACATGTGTGGGAACATATCCACCTTCCTTACAAACTTCATAACCTGAATAAATGTCCAAGAATTTTCTTCCCCGTATGCTTCATATGGCATCATGAACTGCAAAATTTGTAACTTTGTATAAAGATATTTTCCAGCAACATCATCACCTTGTGTCAAAGCAACCTCAAGATTCAAACAACATTTTTTTAATTCATCATCTTTCAAGTTAACCAACTTTGATGCATCAAAGAAGAACCTAATTATAGACTCAAAATGTTTCATCTGCACCAATCTACTTCTTAACTGAGAAAGTGTCATGTCAACTAAAACTAGAAAGTAATCAGTTCTAAATGATTCTCGTGCAGATTGTTGTTCTCTTTCACTATTTTGGATCTCATCAAATTGTTTCTTTTTCTACAAACATGATGTTTTACAAGAAATTTGGGTTCAACTCCAATGTTTTCTGCAATTTTCTTAGCTTCAATGATAGCTAAGTCAAATTCATTCCCTGTACATTTCAAAATAAATAACCAATCCTTCCAAGTTTTTTACCGCAATATCTAGAAGTATATTTTTTGTCTGTAACTTTTTACTTACCAAATTGATTCTATATAAAATTCAATGCCAAATAACCAAACTTAAAATAAATTCAAAACTTGAGAGCTCACCATGGATCAAAGATTCAACATCTCTGCACACTTTTCCATCTTTACATACACTGACTAATTTTATCAAAGCATTTTTTTATTTGGCCAAGTTGAGTTTTTTTTTTTTTTTTTTGCTTTAATACTTTCAACATTGCTTTCCCAACGAGTAGCACATAGAGACTTCAAAATCAAATCATCAATATATTAAAGTAAAACGTTTTTTTGTAGAATTAGAGAATACGGTATAAATTGTTTTACATGTACCAAAAAACAACGTTTTTGCTTTATGACAAGAGTTTATCATATCACACAAAACTAAATTAAGACAATGACATCTACATGACATATGAAAATCTCTATGGTTTATATCAAACAACCTTCTTTGAACACCTTGATGTTTTGCTTTCATATTATCATACCCCTGGCTCCATACACAATTAATATATAAATCAAGGGTTTTCAAAACATCTTGTAGCACATCAAAAAAGATCCTTATTAGATGTATCTTCTACAACCAAAACCTCCAAAAAGAACTCTTCTACTTTAATAAAAACACTCGACACATCTACATATCTTATAAATAGTTCTTTGTGACTTGCATCAGGAGTGCAATCAAGAATGACTGAAAAGTACTTTGCCTTTTTGACTTTTTCAATAATTGCACTTTTCATATTGAATGCTAATATTTCAATCAACTCATTCTGAATTTTATGACTAAGATAATGATTGGTTTCTTTTTCTTTAATCAAATAAAAATGGTGTTGCATGACAAGGTCAAACTCATCAATCATTTGAAGAATGCTTAAAAAATTACCAGTAGACTTTTCATAAAGTTTTTCATTTGATCGACGAAAAGCCAAATTATATTGTGCCAAACATTTCAAAACAACAATTATTCGAATCAAAACTTGTTCCCAGTGAGCGGTATCTTTCGTGATTAACTCTTGCAAGTCCTTGTCAATTGTTTGGTTCTTATCCAACCTCAATTTTAACTCAGACCATGCTTTTAAATTAATCAAATGTTCAGATTTATTTTCATGTAATGATAATGCATGACTAAGATGTTTTCAAACATTAAGTTCATCACTTGCTAATTGACTTTTTGATTGAGCCATTTTTAATAATTTGCAACAAAGCAAAGAAAAATATCTAAGTCTTTGGAGTAAACCAACCATTTTCGCACATGGCATTCACCATTTCGTAGTTTACAAATATAATAGGTACAAGAAAAACGTCTATTTTGATCATCTTTTTGAAAAATGATGTTAGTTTCTCTAACAAGCCCTTTTTCTCTAGGCAAATCTTTCAGCTTTGAATTCAAACTACCCCAAACACTTGGCTCAAAAATATTCAAATTAAGCTCATTGAAGTCATTAATGTTAGGATTTCCAACATCAACAAGATTTTCCACAAAGTTATTAGAATTGGGATCAACAACAAGCTTTTCATCAAGGAGATTTTCCACATTATTGATAAGCGTTGATTATTCA